TTTCTAGAAGATTATATATAGATATTTTTAAAAAAGAAGTATCAGGAGTAGATATCCTGCAATATTCATAAGAGAACCAAAAAAAGGGTAAAAGCCTACATATTTCTTAGAAGTTAGAACACCAGATCATTACTGAACATCTGCATCTCCAACAACAGTTTCATGTCCAGACAATTTTCTCCAAAAATCAAGATGATCTTTTAGTTTTGCTTGTTCGTGTTAAAGTGTTCTATTGTTCATCAATTGAAAACTACCGCTGAAATTAAGCAGGCCTCTTGAGCAGAACAATCTTTCTAGAGTTTCCCAGCAACCTAATGTACCCAACTGAAGTCCAAAGATGAAAGGAAGTCATATTCTACAAGATAAAATTTGAATGACATATTTTCACAGTCTAATTTTTATGTTTATTAAATATAATCAACAAATGCTTCCAGCATGCAAAACTGCATCCCTAATATAACATTTGCAACTTCAAAGTATAATAACACTATCCATCAATCGCTATAAAAGTAGAAGAATTTGTAGGGGCAAAGATGCATAGAATGCCACCAATGTAGTTAGGAACAGTTTAGTATAATACATGGGGTCAGGCGTCAGGGGCCAGGTAGGCTTGCACTCATTATAAGATTGCTCTCTATTCAAATTATATCCCCCCAACCCCGGGTCGCAAAAAAAGGAAAGAAGAAGATACATGGCACGCATGGCGCATGTGCCCTTCTCTCAGATGTTAAGCATCCTAATAAAATGTTAATTTTAGCAGAAACATGCTAACCAACATGTGGAGAAAGAATATAGTTGTTACAATTGATTCTCAAATACTAAGCGGGAGGGAAGAGGTCTATTTTATTTGACTTCTCTTTTACTGATCCCCTTAGTTTGTTATCATATTAATTGAAACTCAAAAAGAGAAAGAGATTTCCATGGCAAGCTTAAAAGACTTCGACTATGCAATAGCATTATTTAACAAATTTGACAATAAAGGCAAGAGCGAGTTATACTATAAGTAGACATAACATATTGCTTTGGAATTTGATTTACATGTGAACCACACAGATTCTTCAGACAGTGAGATCCCTACAATCGCAGAATACAGAACTCAATTACTAAAACTGGAGTATATAGTAACTGAAAAATCCAGGTTCAGTCCCCATGTAGGCCTTATTTTTTGTCTGTCAAAAGCAAAAAAGAAAAAAAAAGAAAACTACAAAAAATGACTAACCCTTGCATGGTACTGTAGGGCTTGACTTATGAAGTTGTATCCAAACAGTAAAACTCCAAAAGCAATATTTATTTATTGAATAAAGAAAATTTAGGTGTACTTTATGAGAAAACTTCTATGGTAATGAAATGACAGAAAAATTTATAGGAAGAGAATGACATTATGGTCTCTTTATCAGTTTCCTTTGGGCATCCTCTTTCTAATTCCAACAATTGTTATTGAACTTTAAGAGTCATTCGCCTTTGGATTTATGAACTTCTAACCAACACCTAATGGGGAAGGGAATTGGGGCTCTGCTTAAAAGTAATTTCAGATATTTTCTCTACAATCAAGAGCTATCAGAAAAAGAAAAGAGAAAAGGAGGAGAAAAGGAAAGGAGACAAGTGGAAAAAGATCTCAGTTTTCTATGCTTCAATTTATCATCACATGAAAAATCATATCTGTCAGCCTTTGTAGGTTTTTACATGATCCAAGAAAAATAGTACTAGAAACATCCTACGTAACCTAGTTCAAGGATTCAAGCTTAGGTTGGATTTGTTAGTACTGTTCTGTGTAATCCTAAGATAGCTACTCTTCACATGAACATAAACCATATCGCGTGAAATCCTGATTTTGCTACCCTTCACATTAACAGAAACCAGTCACAAATTTATTAGTTATATATGTTATCTTCTACCAAATTTGAATCTTATCTCATCCAACTGCACAAACATAAAAAAAAAAAAAAAAAAAAAAAAAAAAAAATAAAAAAAAAAAAAAAAAAAAAAAAAAAAAAAAAACTGCATCATATGCTCTAGAATTATTATTCGGCAAACAAGTCCCTCTACTAGTAAAATTGTTAACCATCCCTAAAAGTTATAGGATAGACCCCAAAAAGAAACTTGTACTCTAGCAGATTGCATAAGGATTTCTCTCCATAACTGTCATGTCCTGGATACGCTTAGATATAAAAGAATGCCATAACAAGTTCTAAAGTTTATACTTCATCGATGGACTTAATTGACATGCCCCACGAGGCTCGATGATGCATATTGTCTGCCAATTTGGTTATGAAGAGACTTAGGGAGCAGATAATTGAAAAATGAACAAGCTGCAACGTGAGACATGTATCCTAAGTTTAAACTTCTCAAGTACTTGGTGGATACATGTTGAATGATAATTAATAATCCACGACATGGGCACACGTACATTCACATGCAAGCAGCAATATCTGAAATAGTACATATGAAAACACAAGTAAGAACAAGAGTGGAGCCCAACACATGTGGACACATTTCAACTAAAACTTACTTCATAAAAGGAAACTTTGGGCCAAAAATCATGTACCTTTTAACATATTCCATAACTTAAATGCATTCCCTCCAAACAATTAAATAAATATACCAACAATGGTTTAGTCCCAATTAATTTGCATTTCCTCTTATGTTGTCTTCCTTCTTGGCAAACATGTAAACGAGGAGTATTCAGGTGACAATGCACCAACATTGTTGTGTGAGTTTTCTTATTGGCTAAATTGCACTCAAATGCCACAAAGTCTCCCCTGTCACTTATATACCACAAGTTGTATTTTGTGGCAGAAAAATACCATAAGTTATTAAAAATTTTCCTGTTAGTTCATGCTTCTAGAAGGTCCCTTTTTTTCTTCGAACGCATTGAAAATTAAGGACCTGCGGCAACTAGAGAGACGCTAAAACTCATTACAGCTTTGATGAGTAAATATAAAGTAGTATTTTTAATATATTTTTCTACATGTATAATAAATCTAAAACATTTTTATTTTTTAACATTAGTGGTTTACTTATAATTGTTTTGATGAGTTCACTACATTGTAACACGTGTAGGCATACAACTACAATTATGCACAGTATCATATAAATTCTTATATAATCCAATTTGGACATAAAATAACTGTATTCATGTGCAATGCACAAGCACCATAACAATTTATATAGCTAAATATATGACTCAAACATGTGAGGTTGATTGCGATTTATTATATCCATCTCATGATTGGGGGCTTGCCTCTATTGAAATTCCTTTTCTAGACGAGGAAATAAATCAAGCAGTTTTTAATATGAATGGAGAGGAGTCCCCCAGCCCTGATGGATTGTAAAAAAAGACATATGTAGTCTGTTTGAGGAACTTTATGAGGAGAAATTAGAATTAGACAAGCTGAGTTATGCTTACACAGGTCTTGTTCCTAAAAGAAATGGATGCTAGAAAGGTGGTGGTTAGAAAAAATATTTGTAAACCTAAATTTTGTGGAGGATTAGAAGTCTTGGATCTTCCTTTAATGACTAAAGCGTTGCTTACTAGATGACTTTGGATATTGTCTGATAGTGCCCTACCTGTTTGGGAAATAATTGTATATTCAAATTACAACGAAAGAGGGAGTCTAATTCCTAGTCAAAGAGTAAATGTGTTTAAGTTTTGGAAAGATATTCTAAGCTCTTTAGATTGTTTTATTGTGAGCCCTAAGGTGATAACTGGTGATGGGCATAATGTTTTTTTAATTAGATAAATGGGTGCGTATAACTCTCTTGCTTCTTTATGCCCTAAGTTGTTTCCATTGTTTGTCAATCCAAAAGTTTCTATTGGGTCTCTTAGAAAAAATGTTAATGGAAATTGCATACGGAATATTGCATTTGTTAGACAGATTCAGGGTATTCTAGTTGGATATGTTGGAAAAAATTACTAATGTGTTCTTTAATACTAATAGAGATAGTAGAATATGGAGATGAGAGTCTAAGGGGTGCTTTACAATTAAGTCCTGCTACTATTTTCTTACTGGATTTTAATAGATTCTTTTAGGAGGAGAGGGAAAGGGATGGAGGGGGTCATAATTGTAGCCATCCTAAAATTGTGTTTGTTTACAAATTTTAGTTAGTAAAGGGACGGGAGGAGTGGGCTAAAAATTAGAAAACTACTCCACCTCCTTAACCCTCCTAAAGTGAACATATTGGAAGGGGAATGATTGGATTTTAAATGAATTTTTCTTGAAATACAAAAATTGCCCGATGAGGAAAGCAAAACATATATTGTCTGATATTTCTTTAGAAGGACATATTGGTTGAGTAACTACACTTCCCTTTCAATCCTTTTAGAAGGACATATTGGTCGAATAATTACACTTCCCTTTCCATCCTCTAATCTAAACAAACACATATTACAGTATACCCTCTCATCCCCTAGTTGTCTATCCAAACACAATTAAGTACATCCTGCCTCTTCACCTTTCACTCCCTTCCCTTGGGTTTATCTCAATCACTTCTCTTCCCTTCCCTCCTTTGCAAACCGAGTGTCAGTGATGGGGGGTTAAGATGCAGTTATGAAGATATTTGGAATGTTTCAGTTCCTTACAAAGTTAAAATGTTTGTGTGGCTTGCCATTATGGATAGACTTGATACTGGAAGTCAATTAAATAAAATAAAAAGAAATACAAGTTGATCATATGTGCGTTGTGTGTGAAAAAGAAAGTGACGATTGTGTGCATATGTTTTTGAAATGTGATTTTATATCATCCTTGTGAAATTCTCTCACGTTTAAAGTTCATGAGGTGGTTACTATTGAAAAATTAAAGGATCTATGAACATGATGGAGAATTGATAATGTCTCTTATAGTAATAAATCATGTTCATGCTTTGATATGGGTTGTTCGACATGAACGTAATATGGTAATTTTCCAGTCTCGAAAGGGACATGCTTTAGACATCATAGGAAAAATTAACCATTATGTTGCTTTTGGATAGGAAATCTTTCTGTTAGCTACAACGATTCATTGTGTTAAAGGAGGAAAAGTCAAGTATACGAGAGCTGCAGCAGGAGTAAATATACATCTACTGTTGTGGAGGATGTTGCCGCTGAAAGAAAAGAGACTAAGAATGCGGCTGATGGAGTTGCCGGTCCAACAACCATTTGTAGGGGGTGACATCTACTATAGCTACGAGGGAATTTGCTACTACTACTGATGTGGTGTATATTGGAGGATCGGGTGCAAGGATAATTGGAGCTATAAGTTGGATTTTCTGCTTATTGGATGTTAAAACTCGTGTATGGGCTGTTTTCAGGATGAACAGTGATAAACTGTTTACAATGTTCTTTTTGTTGATACTTTTGTCATCAATATCTTATGATTAGGGATATTGACAAATATTATGTAACCAATCAATTTTTTTGGGAATGAAAGACGACCGGATTCTTTTCTAAGTTTCCATTCTTACTGTCAAATAATAATAATAATAACATTAATAATAATAATAATAATAATAGTAGTAGTAGTAAATAAAGATAAAAATAAAAAACTGTAGCTAAATTATGAAAGCCACCCTAGTTGTTCACCGATGAGGAGCTAGTCTAATGCAAGCACTGACAAGCGATTTTGGATATCCAACATGTGAATGTTACTACATCCAAGTCTGATTATTTTTACAGTGCTGTCGTTCTTCACGCGACCCTTACAGACATAAAATGTGTCCATCCATAGGGATTTGCTAGACTTGTCAATCATTTCAGTTTCAAACTCTGCCTGAATAAATTAAAAACTCGCCTCATATGGGCGAAACCTAGTTTTTTGCTGAGTATTTCCTTTGCCCCCTTTACTACACATTCTACTTAAGCATTTAGATTGAACCAAAAGAAACAGTTCAAACAACACGCGATCTAAGCACCTAATATACCGTTTGAAACCCTTAAATTTGAATTCTGAGTCTAATTTCTCCAGGTCTTCGCCAAGAAATCGCCGAAAAACTATATAATTCGATTACAACAGCTTTGATCCAGGATTATCTCTGAAAAATCAAGGTAATAGTCCATCCAGATCATCAAAAATTAAACAAAGACAGAACCTAGGGTTCCAATCTAATTAGATCTCTCTGCCAATACAAAGAATTTGGACGCGTTAGTTTGAAGCTTTGATGGTCATAGTTGAAGGATCGGCGTTCAATGATTTAAGATTAGGGTTGAAATTGCAAATTCGAGATTGTTAGGGGTGAAAATAGAACATACCTCAGGGACGGCAGACGAGAGAAGAGCGGCCATGGGGTGGGGCGGGGCGGGCGAACTTTTGCCGTGCAACGAGAGAGAGGAGATGCTATTTACTTTGACGATGGGTAAAAATATTCGGCCCGTGAGGCCCAATAATGAAGAGAAACCTCTAGGCCCCGTGCAACACGCTTTATTTTGGGCCTCAATGGGCTGCAAACTTGATCTATTGACATTTAATATAACTGCATTATGCTATTCATTTGGATAAGTCTAAAATAATCAATTCGGTAATTTTTTTTTAAACTCAATTTGTATTTACTCTTTCTAGTATCGCATCACATGCTCTTCTGATTGAATTTACCTTTTAGGAGTCAAGAAACTTCCATAATGGATGCTCACACTTTGTGAACGCTCACAATTGGTTCGTGCATTTCAATTGTTAATTATGTGCCATTAATCATCAGTTGTTAATTAGGTGTATAAATTAGATATTTTCTATTATTTTATTAAAAATTTAGAAAATGTGGTATATTCACTTTGAGATATTGGAGGCAACGATTTCACTACTTACATAACAAGACTTTGAGATTGAATACGAAACCTAATTATGGTATATATTTAAGGGAAAAATGCTTCCGCTCCCCTCAGAATTTTAATCTAAGTGTTGCACTTCTAGTTGACTAGTCATAAGCTAAAAACTCCCCACATGTTTCAAAACTTTCATGCACCCCCTTGTGCCTCATATTAGTTTTAAATATTATACTAGTACCAACATTTTTCTCGCTCTTTTTGCATCAGTCTAACTAATTTCAGACTTTTAATTTGCTGATATTAAGTAGATATTAAATGCAAATGTTTTTATTTATTTGTCAACTTTGATTCTCTCTAATTGATTGATATGACCAACAAGTAGAACATGGATCCAGCGGCCCGAAGACGAATGATCAATAAATTTCCTTCACGAAAATGATCGAGGTCTTGATCTAGTGAAGGAAGCCAAATTGGAATTTGGAAACTTCGTTTAGTTTAGTGAACAGAATAAGATTTCTTATTTAAACACTGAAAGTTGGGCACTTTGTTTAATTCAGTCAATGAAGAATTATGTTCAAATTGATTCGAGCTTCGGAGACGGAATTAGGTCATTAGAAATGAAATTCGGATCTGAAATGCGTGAGCCTATCAACACGTCCTACATATCTGCCAACGGCCGCCCTCAGCGCGGCTAACGGGAATGGGTGGAGGTGCAAGGCTGAAGGCGAGAAGGAAAGAGGGATAAGCGCAAACTTGGTATTTTTGAAATACTAGTTTTTATGCACGTGCATTGTACGTGATTAAATATCATAATTATTTATTTTTAGTTTATTTCCTTACTAAAACTTTTTTCTTCGATTTCAATTTGATAGTTTTTACTCACTTATGTCTCTAAAATTTAATATTGTGATTATTTATTTTCTTTAATGCTTGTTTGAATGGGCTACACCCAATTTTAAGTTTCATATTGGTAATTGAATTGACACCAAATTAACGTGAAACCAATCTGCATATTCATATTATTTGGGTCAACATGAAAGGAAGTTTTACCTATAGAAGTATAATGTTGCAAAAGTAAAAAAAAAATACTTAAGAAATATCATTATAATACCAAGAGGAATAACTAAAGCCAATACGCCTAGACAATTAATTAGAAGTGGCTAAAATGTCACAAAAGAGAATATGGATTTTATTCCTAATCATTGATAGACTTCATTAAAAATTATAAACTAAATACTAATGCTAACTCTATTATAATTTTATATGATAAAACATTCACAAAATAAGTATATAAAAATATTTTAAAATTAGTGAAAATCTCTTCCAAATATTCCTAATTTTACTCAAAAAATTAGGTTATTCTACAAAATATTAAGAAAATATTGTCTTTTATTCTTTCTATTTTATTTTTGATTGAGTCGAGATCAAGCCTTCTTCACTTTTATCTTTTTCTAAAGTAATTTTGGAGTGGCATCTTCATCATCTACGTCAATTGTGACATCAGGCTGGACCTGGATTTCTCACACTATTATCTCTCCTTGGGCTCATTAATCTTTTATCTTCACATCTAACTTTAAAAGTAATTTGAATGAGAACAAATGTTAATGAGAATAAATGTTGATTTTAAATATATGATAAATTTTTGTGTTTCTAATTCATTATTTAAGTTAATCTATCAATAACAATTAAAAATAGAATAAATTTGTTCAAAAACTTTATCCATAACAATTAATGATAGTATTAGATTTGTTTAAAAACTTTATCCATAACAATTAAGGATAGTAATAGATTTATTCAAAAACTTTATTCTATAATAATTAAGGATATAAATAGAATTGCATTGCATGTATACCTCTTCTAATAACATTAATGAGACCAATTGAGTCCCATATCGAGAACCAATTATTAATCAAATTAATAAGTTTAATTTAACAATCAAATCCCTATCCGACCAACTGTTCATAAAGGCTCTTCCATAATATGAGATTAATTATTAATAAATAATATCTTACATTCAGTCGCCTCTAGTATCATTTATTTTAGGTAACTCTTTTAAGAAAGACAACTCACCTATTTATTCATACCTAAATTGTAATTCCCATGAACATAAATAAAAATCATTTTGAAACATCAAAATATTTTATTTTTATAAGAAAGTAAATTTAAAAAATATTTTCAAAACCACCTACCAGTAGGAATTTAATAGCTTCACGGGAATGCATAATAAATTAACTTATCATATTGAGCATACTGGATCATATCTAGACATCCATTATCTTCCTAAATAAAATTTAGCAACTCAACATTTTAGGTTATGTAATACTTGCTAAACAAGCTTAACCATCACATCAAAGCATACTAAATTATCAAATCAAAAATAACAATATCATCAATTCAAAGGGACCATGTAACAATTTGAATTCTTTATTTCTTAGGTGACTCGTCCTAGAGAATTCAAATACGGTCTAGTACTACATACATCATAATGTGTGCTTATGATATACACTCGGAGAATACCCATTCCCGGTGGTTGAGACCCACCATCATATCTCATATATCGGTGTCATGCATAATAAACTGTTATAACAAAGTTATCCTCTACTAGTTATAGGTTAAGCATAATTTTAAGGAAGTTTTTAAGTTAGATCATATCTCCAAGCAAGTGACCATCACAGTGCATGATCTAACAAAATAGCTTCTAAGGATATATAACAATTATATAAATAATACCCAAATTATATGTGCAACAATTAAATTTATTAACATTACAATATTATTATATAATTTGTATTGGATGTTCAAGGGCAAATTATTATTACTATTCTAGCAATCTCCCACTTGCCCTAACATCCAATCAGATGTAATCCTTACTCCCATCTGTCAAAAATATTTTATAACAATGGTCTATAAAAAGGACATTAAATGTTATTTGTTTAGCCATCTATTAAACCATCACATATTTCTTCTTATTAACCTTTAATAAGATAATTTTCCTTCTAAGCTTTTCGCAACAACTCCATTACTATCAAATAATAGTAAGAAAGAAAAATATTATAAAAAATAATATTAAGCTTATAGAGAAACTCATTTATCCATATTCCTTCTTTAACGGTTTCACATAGAATTACATATTCTGCTATTATTATTAATGATATAAATATAACCCGAAATAAACTTTCTATTATTAAGATTGGATTAGAAACTACTTACAAGATCAATTGCTTCCAAAAAAACTCAATCTTTTTGGGACACATTTCCTTAAAGAGTGATTAGTTATGTCTTATAGGAACCATTCCTTTCTTGGAATCTTGTTAAGTTAAATCTTCTATGGATCTTATCCATATAAGTAGATTATGACAATTCTATATATCTCTTTCTCTATCTATATAGACTTTGAGATCTAAGATATAGAATGTCAAAAGAAAATCCTTCATAAGGAACTAAAACAAAATCCTTCATAAGGAACTAAATCATACTTTTTGTCATGACATTAAAATATAATTCTTAATGAGTAATATGTCATCAGCATGCAATGATAGGAATATAATGGAATTATTTTATTGTTTCTTATACACACAAGATTTCTTTTTAAGGATATGATTAAAAACAGTTTCCTTAATGATTTCATCAAAATGAATCTTTGCTTGATTAAGTTCATATATTTGATTGATTTAATTAATCAATCTTATCTTCTTGAATTTTACATACTTGATTCTATAATCTCTATATGTAAATATTTTCTTAATTAATCAATCTTATCTTCTTGAATTTTACATACTTGATTCTATAATCTCTATATGTAAATATTTTCTTTAAGATATCCATTCAAGAAGGTACATACTTGATTCTATAATCTCTATATGTAAATATTTTCTTTAAGATATCCATTCAAGAAGGTTATTTTAAAATCTATTTATCAATTTCTTATATTCATAACATGTTGAAATGATTAAATGGATCCTTATGAACTATAATATTACAATTAGAGAAAAAAAATTCTTCAACAATTAATAACCGTTTGACATCAAATGTGGCATCCGCTCACTTACATGAAATCATGTCTAACATGACTTTTGCGTAAGTTTTAGGATTTTTATTCTCCTTGTTACTTTTCATCAAATATATATATATATTAACAAGGTTACTGTATTATACAGGTGATAAAAATCCTATATTTGATCTCCTAATTGTAATCAGTGTATTCAACAATAAATTAAGTAAGTAAATCTCTATTTACTTTATTACTGGAAGCTCCCACTAAATTTATAGAATCTTCAACTCATTTGAAGTTTCTCCCACTGGATTAAATAACTTTCCCATTAAAGAAAATAAGTTTTCTTCTAGAGTTATATCAATCCTTGCTTAACAAACTTGATTTTATAAAAGAACACATTTCTAATAATAATTATTATCTGAAAAATACACTAGGATTATCAATATAATATCTAGTACTTTCTTTAGGATAACCTACCAGTAGGATGTTATTTATCTTAGACTCCTATTTTGTCCATATTTTATTCTCTGATGAGAATACGACAACCCCAGATCTCCAAGCATTGTACACTTAATTTTT